AGTTTGCACACCATACTCACTTACAATGTGACCTAAGTAAAGCACCTCTTTCTGGAACAAGTGACATTTCTTGGGATGAAGTTTGAGGTTTGCTGCCTTCAAACGCTTGAATACTTCCTCTAGCCGGGACATTTCCCCATTAAAAGTTGTTGCAAATACAATGACATCATCCAAGTACACTAGGGCTATCCTCCATTGTAGGCCTTCTAGTACTCTTTCCATTCCATCAGCCTCTCAAATGTTGCCGGAGCATTGCTAAGCCCGAATAGCATCACACGGTAATGCCAGAGACCTTGGCCATACCTAAATGCAGTCTTAGGTTTATTTGCTTCAACCATTTTCACTTGATGGAAACCCGACTTTAAGTCTAGAGTTGAAAACAATCAATTTTACTTAAACACACGCTATAATTCACAACAAACGATTCACGCACTTACTTACTACCGCGCTTGACTGAATTGTCCGTCTCTGTCTGTCTGCAATTCTATCTCGATTCCTTGTCTGGCACACTTATATACAAGAATACCGCACATCTAGCAAACACTCGAGCATTCACGAACCTTCGAGAATATCATGACATCTTACTAGCGTCACGTGACTTCCGCTGTCGTAACATATACAACTTCATAATAATAATAATAAAACATTTGTTAAGCCTAAGTATGTAATGTATACAGCTTCATATAATAATATTAAAAACATTTGTTAAGCCTAAGTATATAATGTATACAACTTCATAATAATAATAATAAAAACATTTGTTAAGCCTAAGTATGTAATGTAATGTTACGACAGCAGAAGTCATGTGACGCTAGTAACACGTCATGTGCTTCTAGAAAATTCATGTCCTTTCGTGAAGCCTCGAGTGTTTACTAGTTGTTCGGTATTCTTGTATATAAGACCGCCAAGAACTGACGGCAACAATCGGAATTGAATTGCAGACAGAGATACAGACGACAATTGAGCCAAGCGCGTGAATCGTTCGTTCGTTGTGAATTATAGCGTTTGTTTAAGTGACTGTGGAAATTAAGAGTATTGCAAAGTTGTATTGAGAAAGAATAAACTAGTTTTATTTAAGAAAGGACTTGTATCGCTAAAGTTTCTTCGGAAAGAATTTTTACGGAAAATTAACAAACGACCAGAGGCGTAACAGTATACAACTTCGTAATAATAATAATAAAAACATTTGTTAAGCCTAAGTATTAGAGACTCGAAATATATAAGATAGTAGAAGAAGAACCTCGAATTATAGCTTATGTACTTGCAGAGTAATCTGATGAAATTAGGTAACAGTAATTAGTCTAGGTAACAGTAATTAGTCATTAATGTCCGGCCCAGGATATGTGGGCGATTGGCAAAATTCCAATTTTTTTTTAGAGTTCGTATACAAAAGAGTTTATATCAAAACTTTGAATTTTTATATTTGTTATGTAAACATTTTAGACCTAACTTCGGGTGATACGACTTACCTTTTATTTGTTCTACTTTTAAAAACAGAAACAACAAAAAAAAACTTCAAAAAACAACAACAAAAACTAAAAAGCAAACTCATAAGCCATTTAACCCTAAGGTTTGACGTTGTGGAATGGATAAAATGTGTATTCATTGTTGTAATTAAGTTAAATGTTAGTTTTGTAAAATTAAGTTCAAACAAACATACCTGAAACTTTGACATGCTTGACAGTCTTATGTGAATAGTTTTGCACAAGGACGCTCACGTTGATTTCTTCACCATGATAATAGAGCTAGGGGTAAACGGATAATCAAGTTTTAGTAAAAACAATATTCAGTAAAATACCCAGTCTTAGTCTAAGTAAACCCAGCGTCAAATAAAAGAACAGATGGCT